TACGTTTCCTTCAAAAAGGCTATACGTGACCAGGGCACAGAAAAAGACTGAAAGTTCAAGAAACACATGCTAATTGAGCAGAAATGTGAAATACTGCATTTAAAAATCTTCAAACCTTGCCTTTATTCTAGCTTGAATATATACCTGCATAAACCGCCACAATCCAGATATCTCAAGGTACACACAGTCATTATCACAACGTCCTAGTCTGACTGGGGATCTTGCCCTGTGTCTCAGTTTGCTTCTTTGTGATTGAAATCCATGAACTAAGTTTCAGTGATATCCTTGCAGGTCCGAGAGGGTGTGTGGCGGTAAGGACTGGGGCCCCAGGGTGTAGCCTGCTCACAAGCTTCCAGAAGACCATTCCTCCACAGGACAGGCTGCTGTGGGACCGTCCTCCTGTCTGCCAAAGTTACCCTGACCCTGGCCCTTCTGCCCTCAGAATCTGTATTTCTGCTAGAGGAAAAAAATGACGAGTCTTAAGTTTGCTGTATACACAAAAATGAAGTATGTGAGTACATGCTGAGCGGGGACACGATGTCCATGATGAGGGAATTCGGTCCTTGAATTTAAAGAACTTCCCAAGGCGCTCCATGACTTTGACAAAACCCACGTGGGCGAGCAGGGCTAGGGAGCCGAGTGCCTCTGCTACCGCAGCTCACTGAGGTGAGGACCTGAGGGCCCCCTCAGCCACCATGCTACGCTGGTTTTCTGAACCCACTGGTGGGTTCCAGTTCACCGCCATGAAGAACCTGGTGCCACCAGAGGAAGGGCCCCCAAGTGAGGGTCTGGCTGTCTTCACCGATGCCAGTGTCATGACACTGTGGAACTACAGAGGCCCTACCCCACTCTGTCTCCAGTGGGGAGTGGCTCCTGGTGTTGGGGACCTGTCCCTGAGCTGGCCTTGGGACATGCTAAGGGTTTATTTCAATAAGTCTTTCTGCCTTGGAACCTAAAAACATTGATCAACTCAAAATTTGTAAAGATTTTCTACCATCAGTCATGGTCAGCTGAGAAAATGGTCCTCCGGTGGACCAAGGTGGATATGCGACAGGGAGGTCAGTCCCTGCAGCGCAGGAGCTGAGGATGTCTGCTCCCACCCCATGCCCCCGAGTTCCCCAGGCCCAGGCTCCCCCTTCCCACAAGACTTTGGCACCCTGTATAGCCTCTGGTCCATGCCCCTTTATTGATGGCAAACCCCTGGGGTAAATCTTTGTGGACAGTCAGTTTCGGTATTGCCTCTTGTCCAATCAGCACCATGAGCTTTGAAGAGACCCTGCAGTCATCCTGGTTTCTGCCCAAAGCTTTCCAGTGCGAATTCTCTTTGCTGAATGTCTGGTCTTTGATGCCTTTGAAGGTCATCATCCCTGTGATGCTCTTGTACGATCTCCTTTGCCACTGAGGCTGAGGCACAGCTACGAGAGCTCTGTACTCAAGCGGAGGCCAGGCAGGAATGCAGGGTGCTGACCACAGTGAGGACAGAGCGGCACACACCCCTGTCCCCTCCACGGGCTCATACCCCTGTGATTTCCTCTTTGCTTCCCTGGGGGGCAAACTTAATGGCCTAGGCAAACCCAAGGAGAAACTGGTTCTGTGTTCTCTGCCAGTTCACCAAGGTCATTTTCATTGTTTGACAACTTAAGGAATGAGATGGACTTCAAAGATGGCTACAGACCAAGGGGATCTGTCCAGGAGTCTGTACACTGACAGTCCCACAGGTGTCTTGTACACCTTCCCTCCTGGGAGGCTCCTGATTTTCAGTAAAATCAATCTCCTGCATTTCTTGGTCCTCAGAGGTCAAGGGTGCGCCAACGGCACAGAGTCCCGTGAGTTACGGCCTTTCAGCAGGAGTGCGCAGGCTGCTGCGCTCCCTCACCACGTGCTCAGTCTCTCTCCATCCCTCCTCCTGCCCCTTCCCCCTGAGACCAGCCCCCACCACACGTGTCTGCAGTCGCTCCCTCTGGGTCATATGTGGTCTCACACTCCCCGCGTGCAGTCCAAGGCAGACGTTGAAGTAAAGATCAGAGAGGAGGAGAGCTGCTGGGGCCAGGTCCTCAGAAGAACAGCCTCCACGGGTGCCCAAGTTCCTCCTGAGGAGGGCTGGGGCGGGCTGGCCCCAGTTGTTCTGTGAGTCCAGGTGGGGAGCGGGCTGTCCACTAAGAGCACCCCAGGACGGCCCCGGGGAGCAGCCGTGAGCAGGACTAGGGCTGTTCCTACAGGTGAAGCAACAGACTCTAGGGCCATAGCCACCAACCACTCTGGCCCCTTGTTGATGCTGAACAAGGAAACAGACCTCAGTGACCACCCCAACTGGTCACGAGGGTAGATTCAGTGGGTGCCGTTGGTCCAAGGTGCCTTCCACCACGAGGTCTCTGAAGAGCCCTCTCCGTGCACAGTCCAGGGTGTCTGCGGGTCCTCTCTGCCAGGAACCTCAGGCCCTGCCGGGCAGCAGAGGTGAAGCTGGGGCCTCCGGACCTCGCCTCCCCTGCCCCCTCCCTCTGCTGCTTCCCCTGGTGCCTCTCTAGCTGGGCCCGTGTGAAATGCGGACACGGGGAGGCCGGCTCAGGTCTCCTCCAGGGACGCAGCTTGAGTAAATACTTGGGAGTGCTGCCAGAGGAACTGCAGTGGGTGATGATCCTGACGTGCCCAGGGACATTCTCCTGACATGGACAGTGCAGGGCCCTCACGGTCAAAGAGATGGAAAGCTTTAGAATGTCGGTACCACAGATTTTTGACACTGCACGTATTTGTCATGTGAGTCCTGTTGAAACCACAGTTAGATGAGATCCCTGCTGCTTCTCCCACTTCCTGTGCATTTAATCCTTAAATGGGTGAACGGAGGGGATCTTATCAAGACCAAAACAGACCAGGAAAATAAGATCACAGAATGACGGGCCTGTGACTCCCATCTCAGCCTGCACACAGCGGAGGAATGGAGGGCGTCCCCGAGAGGCCTCACACGGTTGTCCCCGCAGGGCCTGTGTCATGAGGCTTAAACTCAGAAAGCTCCCTTCTCTTCTGGTTGGTGTGGGTCCTAAACATGCACCCTGAGCTCCCTCCCTAGCCTTATGGACTGACTTTTGTTTCCCCAAATCGTTCAGTTTCACTGCACTTGTCCATGTTTGTGGGTCCTTTACTGAACTCTTCCCTTCAGACCTCCCCTTCAACTTGATCTTCCCTTCATCATGCATGACAATCGGGCCCACAGAAACCTGTAGCCACCACAGGAGTGGGAGGGTGGTGCGGCCGTCTCTACAGTTTCAGATAATGTGGAGTAAACTCCCATATTTCCCCTGCATGGCACACGGCAAGTCTGGGAATTTCTACATGTTCCCTTTTAATTGAAAGTTCTCTGTTGGGTGGGGAGTGAGCCATGCCTATGTCCCAGAGACTTGAGACTCGGAAGGCTGAACTTTGACTTAGGAACTATACAAGTGGCTTTATTCTTTTAGTAAGAAGATTCCATAATAATACATCCTTCTTGCACAAACACAGAAAACGCTTTTGCGCTATAGGGGATGGGCCTTCATGGTGGTGCCCAAGAGTCTATTTTTAAATTAGGCATATTGATTGATAAACACGTTGTCCTGAGATGCTCGTCAATCTCTTTATTTTTTATCTTTAATCATAATAATATAATAATGTAATATTATATAATATGCAATTCTATGTTTTATATACATAATCATATAATAATATAATGCCCGTAGGCAATATTCTTAGGCACTGTGCCCAAGGAGTAGGTGTGCTCCCAAGCAAATGCGCGGCAGACACCATGTCTGATTCTTACGGAGGGACATAGGTTGGGCAGTCTTTTCTCAGACAAATTCAAATGCAAATTGCATTATAATTACCCTGGAGGTTTTTTCCTTATTAGCTCTCTCTTCCTCCTCAGCCGGGGATGTTGCTGACCCAGATCCCTCATCTGCGTGGGAAGCTAGGCCCTGCTCCCCGGGTCTGCGGCACTCAGGGTCTCTCGGGAGCACTGCGTGTTGTGGCGGGGCCCAGCAAGCTGTCTGCACACCTCGGCTTCCTCTCTCCTGACATGATGAGCCTCTGTTTAGGGACTTCATTTGAGGTGAAGCCCACATCCAGATGCTTTGTGGACCCCAATTTCCCCAGCCCAGAAGTGCCTGGCTGTGCAGGAACTGGAGATCCAGGAACTCGCTCCAGCTGCATCTGGAACGTGGTCTCCAGCCACAGAGCTGTGCGGCCAGTGAGAGGAGACATGTCCCCCGAGGGTGGTTACAACCAGGTGAGGCAAGGAGACTGCAGGGCTTATGTCTCTGCAAGACACCGGGCACAAAACTGGAAGGAAATGCCGCTCGCGGCAGAGCAGAGCCCCGAAATCTAATGAGGAAACAAGCTCCACTTTTGAAAGCTATACTGAATTTCATCAGTTCTAAGTTAACAACAGATTCACAGCAGGAAAAAAAAAATTAGGTTAGCTGATGGGTGATTAGGCCCTAATCTCTATGTGGACGCTCTGCTGGTGGGTGTGAAGGCAGCCAGCATCCAGGACGTCACCAGAACCCCGAGTGAAGGAGAATCCCCCTGAACAGGGACACCAGGGAAACTCCCCTTTATATCTGAAATCCAAAGGGAGAGCCCATTCAAAGTCCTGGCACAGCCTGGTGAGACCCGTTCTCAGTAGGAGGGAAATCTCTGCAGACAGCTTTGGCTACCGTGTCAGTGTGGGCAGAGGTGCCCCGGCTGAGAGGAGCAGGAGGGAGATGGGGTCCTTCTTCCCTTCTCCCTGCCTCCGCTGCCTCCGCTGCCTCCCCGGAGGCCAGACCAGGAAGGCAGCTTGGCTCCCTAGAATTCCAGGGAAGGCGGCGGCTCAGTGTTTCCCAGCCCCCTCCCCTCCTTTCCGGACAGATCATCTTGGCACAAGCAGCACAAACAAACTTTGTTAACGGCTTTAAACTTGGAAGGCTCGCTTTTTAAATATTTGCCGCTACATAATTGAAACAGCTGTTTTAATGAGATACCTACTGTCATCATTTTACCCTGGCTGAGCTGGGTGACAACAAAGCAGTAATAACGAATTCAATAATAATTAACTCGGGTCATCTGCTCATCTGTCACGGCCCATCAGCTTTAGGGAGAAAAATCCCAGTGAACTTCTCTCTTTTGTGAGCTTTCCAAAACTCTGTAATAAAACGCTTAGAGAGGACTCTAGGTAGCCCTTCAAAAGTTCTAAGCAAACTGGTAAGTAGGTTAATTAAATTTTATGCATGTTTAAATGCTAATGATTACATTCCTGACATTACAGTGTAATCTGATATGGAATGATGTCATGCAAGCAGTGGTTTTAGTGCCGAGACACATTTCCATCCCCACGCAGAGCAGCAGCAGCAGCTTTGGATCATTTATCGAAGGGCAGGAAGTTGACAGCGGCAGTGGAGAGCCAGGTGTCACTCAGGTCCCTGGGCTTGTCTGATGCATGCTAATCAGGGAAGCTTCGGAAAACAACTGCTCCCTGCCTGCCAGCCACCGGGGCTCAGCCAGGGGCTGGGTCTTCCTTCGTCTACGCTCACACTCCTGGCACCGGGGTGGAGAAGCATCCTGCCTGCTTGCCAGGATCTGAAATGACAGTAAGGTCAAGTGTCCTGCTTGGTGCCCGCGACAGTGCTGGCTGGGCTCCCCTCCTCCGCCTCCACAGTGCACGAGGCTGTCCATATTTTTGAGCAAGGACAAGACACAGATGCACGAGCGTTTGATGGCCCAGAGGAGATGATAGACATTACCAATTTGGTAGACGCATGGCTCTGATTCCGCTGGTGGCTCAGGACAGGGCTGCTCAGACTGTACTGGGCACAGGCGCCATCTGGGTTCCCTGTGGGGGAAGGGGGGCTGGGAGCAGGCTGCCTGGAAGGAGCACCCCACCTTGAGGACTCGAGGCACCACTTGGTCAGCTACAGACAAAAGAGAGAGGCCAACCCGGATAAGACAAAGACCCTAGGACTTCTTAGGGCCACCTCTCCTGTCTCAGCGCGTATTTTGTGAGGTACCTACATACCTTTAAACAAAGACATTCAGAACACCTTCCTAATTCACTCCCCTAATTCCAGACGTGCCTTGTCTGACAAGAAGCATCCTCTGTCTGGGAGACGGATCTTTCTGTTCCACAAGGAAGCTCATTTTTACAGTTTCTGCTTTTTCCTCTAAACAAAGCTTACCTGATCCAGCACTGCTTTAGGGAACAGCGTACAGTAGAGACTGCAGTGCACTGAACTATCGGTGATTCAGTGCCAGCCTAATAGGACTACACAAATACAGCACCTTCTGTCACGAGAAGCGAAATTCTAATATCATCAAACAGATACGTTCAACGAGATCTCAGCATCACTCTGGATTGTGCAGGAAAGCTCACAACTCAAAACCAAACAGCCCGCACACTGCCAAAGGCCTGGTCTGTAATGCAGTTTTTCCCACATTAAGCATTAAACACACACACACACACACACACACACACACACGCTGTAATGTAGTTTTCCTTCCCAAAGAACAGTGAGCGCAAGCCTCCTGTGCATGGGGAGGGAACAAGGACATTTAAGACAAACGGCTCCAGCAGGGCAGACGTATGGCACTGTCCCTGGTTGTTAAGAAATAGCCCCACTGTACCCACCAGTCCTCTTTCTGATACACCAAAAGCTCTTTAAAATACCCAGTGTGGGTCCAACAGCGTAAAACCAGAAGGCAGCAGTGAGCTCCTGCACACCGTGGCTGGGAATTTTTCCACAGTGACACTGTTTTCTGACTTCATCAGCTTTTTCCGAGAGGTTCAGAAGAGTAATCAGTTTTGCGTTTCAACTGAGCTTGGAAAAAGAAAAAGAAAAAGCTCACCGTTGCCCTCAGTGCTTTCCTTGCTCTGTACATAAACCGAGCAAGTCGTAGGGTTTTTCTGGGTGGCATTATTTGTAGTTTTCATAAAGCCTGTGTGGTCGGACAGCCTGAGATCTGGCCAGCCCTGTTCTGTGGCTGCTTATCTAGAGCTGAGACAGATTGCATAAAGCAAAGTACCTCCGATGAGAAGCTGGGAGGGTAAATGCAGCCTCAACAGGAGCTGGTCAACAGGAGCCCAGATCAGTCACTACTGCAAGATCTGAAGCCATACAACGCTCAGGAGAAGCTCCGCACGGGGCCTGCGTGACAATGCCGGCTTGACAATGATTTCTTGGGTGTGACACCAAAAACACAAAACAACAGAAGAAAAAGCAGATACATGGAGCTTGGTCAAAATTAAAAACTCTTATGCACAGAGTTTCCCTACCAGGAGAGAGTTTTCCCCACCACAGCTTTGGAAGTGAGTAAGCTGCCAGCAGGTCCCAAGCCCGGCCAGGGGTTCATATCCAGACCCTATGAACTCAGGCCGCTCCCCAACTGAGAACAAATCCAACTTAAAAATTGCCAAGGACACGAAAGGCACACAAATGGTCAACAAACATGAAAACGATGCTCCACATCAGTAACAATAAGGGAAATGAAAATCAAACCACAATGAGACAGCATTTTACACTGACTACTATGAAAAAGGAGAGAACATCCAGAGAACAGGGTGCAAAGCAACGGGACCCTGCACTTGCTGGTGGGAAGGTGGGTGGAGCTGCTGAGGAAAGCAGCCGAGTCCTGGGACGGCCAGGCAGGGCCACTGCAGACCCGCTATTCCTCTCTGGGCTGTGCCCAGAGAACTAACCTTAAGGCAGACATTGTCCCCCATGTTCACAGCAGAATCATTCGCCAGAGCCAAAGGGCGGACATGACCTCAATGTCCAGCAGCTGAGGAATGCATTAGTGAAACAAAGCACCCTGCGTGGAAAATGCTCATCCCTGAAAGGCATGATCCTGGCCACCTGCTGCAGGTGACCTGCACCTGAGTGACCTGCTGGAAGGTGGTGCTGAGCGACATGAGCCTGCTGCACAAGGTGCACTCTGCACTATTTCACTCATATACGGCACCTAGAAAAATCAAATTCACAGAGATGGAAAGTGAAAGGTGCTGCCAGGGGCTGGGGACGGGGTGGGGGCCAGTGTGGAGTGGGGACAGGTTTCAATTTGGGAAGGTGGAAGGTTCTGGAAATGAATAGTAGGATGGTGTAGAACAGTGTAAATGGGCTCCATGTCACAGAAGACACACTTCATGTGGGGAAGCTACATTGCACACCTTGCCACAGTAACAAGTGTTTGGAAAAGAAGAGGAGGAGGGGGGTGAAGGTACATGGCCAGATGCAGAGGAAGAGTCTGTAGTCCTGTGTCCTTCCCACCGTCTCTGGAAGGCCCAGCATGGCCTGCAGACATGGGCAGCCAGGCTGAGCGCAACGCAGCCCTTACAGACCTCCCAGAAGAGAGGCAGGCAGTGGACATGGCCCTGAAGCAGAGGGCGCCCGATCAGACTCTTCCTGTGGCCTTTGTTTAGGAGGCGTGCCCAGGGTTCCTAGCACATGTGCATGCGTGTGTGTGTGCATCTCATGCACGCTTTCCCTCCAGTTACTTGTGTGACTTCTGCTCACTCGACGGTGGCACTGTTGGCATCAGGAAGCAGACGGGGCAGTCCTAGCTCCCAAGCTCTGAGGGCTGGAAACCAGGCATAAGCACAGAAGTGTGTGCAGTGCTCCCAAGAATCCCAAGATTCACACATCAAGTGTGTGAACACGTGTTCACACATACACGCTCATGCTTGAATTCAGACACATTCACTAAACGCCAACTGTATTCCAGCACTGCCTGGGCCCGAGCTGGTGGACTTCCTTCTGGTGCTTCCAGACCCTCAATACCTCCCCGATGACCATGCCACGTGTGGTCACTGTTGGTCATTTCCTGTCCTTTGTCACTGGTGAGTGTCCTTGCCGGGCGGAGCTGCAGGCTGCCTGGCCAGAGCATCCCTGGTCTGTCTCTGTCCCCATCATGATCAAAAGCACTGGGGGTGAGGAGAGGGAGGGGACTGGAAGCGTGGGCTGAGGCCGGGCTCTTTCTCATGCTGGTTTTGAGAGTCAGGCAGATCATCCCTGGGGAGGAGTCCCACTGGCTGGGGCGATGCCCTGTGTCTGCATGCCAGCAGGCGAGAGCTGTGCTGCTCAAGTAAAAATGCACCAAGCGGCCTTGGAGCCAAGTCAGAGCTGGGCCTGTGAGGCCAGGTTAGCTGCGGGCAGTAGTTCTGGCTCCCAGGAATCCCAGCTGCCAGGAAATGCCAATTAAAGCCTTTATGCCCAGGGCTCCCTCCCAGGTGTCAAGGGCAGACTAAAGTACTCTAAGGGTATACAGTGGCCAGTGTGGCCCCCTGTCTCTGTCCTGCACTGCAGCCCCCAGGATGAGCACTCTCCTTGACCTGCTTCCCCTTCACAAACACAGGCTCTGCCTTGAGGTGCACCCAGGAAGGAGGTGCACCCAGGAAGGAGGTGCACCCAGGAAGGAGGTGCACCCAGGAAGGAGGTGCACCCAGGAAGGAGGTGCACTGTCTGCCCTTCGCCTTAGTGCTCATCAAGGTCTTGAAGACGCTTTCCTGGTAACAGCTGTGTGCGACACTTTAGCAAGTCTGAAAAGTTAGAATGCACTTGTTCACTCATGATCTCAAGACACTGGCAGCCCTGGAAAGAAGCAGAGCCGGAACCAGTGGAAAGGGTGCCCTGGTGTCACACAGGCTCCTGGAAAGGCGCAGACACTGGACATGGGTTTGGAGCCCTGAGAGATTCTTAACAGAATGAGCTTAAGTTCAAAACCTAATAATAGGGGAAAATCGGGCTCTATTTGCATGTCTTTTTAATTTTATTTTCCTAGGGATTGATTTTTATTCTGTTTTACAGAGATACTAGTTAGTGACAGACTGGGGTCAAAACTGTCCTTTACCATGACAATAAGGGAGTCCTCTTCTGTCCTCCTCATGATGGTGCTGAGGTTTGCAACAGGATGGATCCATCACCCCAGACACCCCACCGCAGCACTCCCACCCGCCTCCTGCAGAGAGTGACTTCCTCTCTGCACACTGGGTCCCAACACTGCATCCAACGTCCATCCCAAGTTACCTGGGGCTGACTAAGGGACCACAGGTTCCTGGGGTCACCCCCCCGGACAGCAGCAACCCTGTGCCCTGCCCTTAAATCTGGGATGCCAAGGGCTTGAAAAGTCATGTAGGAAAACCTATAAATGCCCGGCCTCACTTCAGGGTGCTGGCGAGAAGGTGCTGAGTCAACTGAACGTGGCTGCCACCGCCCTACGGTTATCTAGTTACATAGACAGTGCAGAAGCCACAGAGGAGGAGGTGCAAAGGGGTTTGTGATTCTCTCAAGACGGAGCATCTACGTGCAAACAGCACAGGTTGTATAGTGGTATGTTTTCAATTGTCATTAGGAAAGAGTCTAAATATTTTTAAAACTAGTGTCATTTTAGCATTTTTAAGTTCAAATATTAACCTAAAATGAGGTTAAATGCCAAATCTATTAAGGGCCTGTGTAAGGAATAGGTAAAAGTTTAATTAGCATATGAATCGTCTGTATGGGAATGTGATCACTAAATGACAAAAATAGTTTGCTCTGTTAAGTAGGTGGAATCTTTGCTTTGCAATTACCCTAATAATCTCCACAAAAGATTCTTTTTCTTAGGTTCCACAAAGAAACCATTTTCCTAGTGACCCACAATTCCACAATTTGGATTTGCCCAAGGGCTCCGGGCTCAGGTCCACCCTGGCTGGGGGCTTCCCTGTGTGTTAGGATTGGTTCAGAAAAATTCTCACCATACCTGCCCAGAAGGTTGCATCCACAGAAATAATGCTTTGATGCATGTGGGTGGTAACTTCCAGTGGTCACAAATAGGTAGAGCAGGTAGAACACTGCAGGTCTCTCGGCAACAGCCAGGACTTTCAGGACAGAGGTATTTCACTGATGGGCTCACCTGGTTGGCTCACCTGGTAGGTTCTGTCACTGGCCAAGCCCAGGCTGAGTGTGAGAAGTCACGTCAGGGTGGGGGTGTGATGAAGAGCAGGGATCACCAGGCAGCAGAGAGCTGAGCTGGAATGTCCACTGGTGCTTTGGAGCAGGCAGGACGGGACCAAAGTTTACCCACCGTTCTGATCTTTGAAGTTGTAAATTACAGAACCGGATGTATAATCTGGGAACTTTTCCAAATTCATTTTCAGAAAAGGTGGATCTTCTACACCAGCAGCTGCACCACCAGTAACGTTCTTTATTTCTGAAACAAGCGCTGTCAGTGGTCCAATTGTCAAGCCAGGGAAGCAGGCTCCCCACTCCCTGCACCAACACCTCCTGCCATGAAGGCGTCTGAAGGTTGAGTCCTGCGGCTTTTGCTGCCTGGGAACAAGTGCCCACCCCTGTCCTGGTTGCTTCAGGGTATCACTCCCCTTACCACTGGGCCCCGGCCTGGGCCTCCTCCCTGGGCCTCCTCCCTCCACCTGTCGGGGACATGCCTTCCAGGGTTCTCACGTAGGGACTGAGTTTTGTCCTCCAGATTCTTATGTTGGAACCCTTCCCACCCCCATGTCACTGTATTTGGAAGCAGGCCCTTTAACTGGGCAATTAAGGCTAAATGCAGTTGTAAGCTGTCCCTGATCCCCAGGATTTGCATCTGCTAAGAAGAGACCCCAGGTCCTAGACACACAGAGGCTGACTTCTCTGCAACCCCTGCTGTCTGTTCCTGCTGAGAAAACCAGGGCGAGACCCCAACCTCAGCATGGAGCCAGTCCCCCCAGGGCAGGGGTCTCTCTCTGATAATTGAAAAAAACAGACTAGTAATACTAATTGGCTTTTCGCTATATTCTTCTATTACAAATAATTTCCACTCTGCCCAAATCACCAAATTCACTTTGATTCAAACTATGTGATTTCCTACCTTCTTGGGAATATCCACTCCACCCCCTGAGCCCCCGTGGTCCTTGTGC